GTTGATTTTTCATTATGTAAATGATCTAGTTTACTAATTAATTAATAATTTTAAATATATATATTTTTTTAAAAATTTATAATATTATTATTAATACTAACTGTACACTAACTAATTGATAAAACTAATTGATAGTTATACTGTAACTATAAATATTAGTATACAATAGTTATATATGTGATGTAAATATAAGATTTTTTTTGGTGCTTTTTATATACTTTTTTTTAGCGAAAAATATGATTTCCATATAAATATTTTAATCGGTATTTTAATGTTACAAATAATTTATGTTATAATTTTGACATTTAATTGTTTTTTTTTATATAACTTTATTAGATTGTCGTCATATAATATGATAATTTTATTATTACAATACAGTATATTAGATAATATATTATTTAATACAAAAAAATACTTTTTAAAATATGTAAAATCATTATCACTTTTACGTAAATTTTACGTATTATTTATATTAAATTATAATTTTCTAGCATTTCAACACAATTAGGTATAAATTTTTTAAATAATATTTTTTTAGTTAATTATTCAATTTATTTATTCAACATTTGTTTATTAAAAAATTAGTTAACAAATAAAATTAACTTAATTAATAGAAAAATATATAAAAAAAAATTAATAGAGTTTTATTATAGTTTACTTATATTGTTGTTATTATTATTATTTAATAATAAACAGTAAAACTTAAAATTTGAAAAAATAAGATAATAAATGGGGAAAAAATAAATATTATAAAGTAATCAATGAATTTTCATTTAAGAAAAATTCATTAAAATAAAATTATTACAAAATACAAGTATTGTTAAACAAATAAAAAATAATTTTAACTGATTTTATAAAAAATTATTTTTAATAGTTTTAATTTTTTTATACTTTATAAATAATTTATAATCTATACTTATAATAAAAATAATAATACTGTATATAGATATCATCTAAATTATCAAATAAAGTAAATAATAATTAATTAATTAAAGTTAAGTTTTGATATTTTAACTGTAACTTAAATATTAATAATTTAATTTTTGTTTATTAATTTATTTACAGTATTTTATCAATGTTAATTAATAAAATTAATTATTTGTTATTAAATTTGCAAAAAAATAAATAATTACATTGTATTTGTATAAAATTAATAAAATCAATATATAGTAATTGTTATAATAAATATTGTATTTAATGTTAATTTTATTTTATATTATATAATATAACTACAGTATAAACTAGTGGTATAGCAATAGTGGTTTTAATTATAATAATAGAAATTTTTATTTTACTAGTATTACATTAATTTGATAATTATAATTATAACATTAATTTATATATTTAAACTATGCAACAATTGTTTGAATTAATTATATAACAATTATAATTAATATACTTTTTAAAAAAAAATTACTAATAGAAATATTAAACTATAAATTTTATTTAATTTAATAATTTAAAAAAAAATTATTTATACAAAAAATATAAAAAATAATATTAACTGTTAGTTGTTAACTCATTTTAATAAAAAAAATGTTTAATAAATAAATTGAATAATTAATTTTAAAAAATATTTTATAAAAAAATTTGCACCTAATTGTATTGATAATGCTAGAAAAGTATTGATAAAAATGTAAATTTTTTATTAAAGTTGACTAAAATTTATGTAAACATGATAATGATTTTACATATTTTTATAGGTATTTTACGTATTAAATAATTTATTATCTAATATACTGTATATTGTAATTATAATACTAACAATTTTATGACGAAAATCTTATAAACTTATATACAAAAACAATTAAATGTCAAAATTATAACATAAATTATTTGTAACATTAAAATATTTTGTATGTAAATCATATTTATTTATTTTTTTTAAAAAAAAAAGTATATAAAGAGCAATAAAAAACAATCTTATATTAACATCACATATATAACTAACTATTGTATACTAATATTGATAGTTACAGTATAACTATCAATAGTTTTTTTTTATCAATTAGTTAGTGTATATTATATATAAATAAAATTAATTAATTAATTAGTTGACTAGATCATTTACAGTACATAATGAAAAATCAGCTAGCTAAACTGTTTCTATTGGCATTTATCATGCAGTTATCAATGACTATAACCACTACTAATGCTAACTATTATTATTATTATGAATTATAACTTTTAATTATTTAATAATATATCTGTATATACATTAATTAAACTTATTATATATATATATCAATATATAATAATTATTTACTAACTATCCATAAAAAAACCTACCTGTCCTCCAGCCGTCAATTTGGTCAACATTGATATCTATAACCTGTTGTAGATTTATTAATAATATACCTATATATCTATATATATATATATACAATACATTAAACTTATTATATATATAATAATAATAATTTTTTTTATGACTGTCCCCCCCCAAAAAAAACCTACCTGTCCTCCTCCAAAGCCGCCGATATCGTCCAGTTTGATATCTATAAAATGTTGTCCAGTCATGGCTTTCAATTCATTGACGATAAACTTAAGCCACAATTACAGTCACTATCGGATACGTTGAACAAGTTTTTCAAGGACGCAGCCGCCGACCCGCCATCCGATGTACCGTTTTTGATTGACAATGATTTCGGTCAATTGGCCGCTGATTTATTATCGGCTATGACTGCCTACGGCAAAACAATGACCAACCCGTCGATGATCAACAAAGTCAATCAAGCGGCCCAACTGTTGAAACAGTTGGCCACTGATATTCATACGCAATTCGGTCCACTAGTTTCGGGTAAGACCAGACCGGGTAAATCTGTATACAATCCAGTGATTACCGTTACGATTGTTGGTCTGGCCGGTACTATCGGCAAAATGTTTACACCCGAGGAAAGTGCCAAAAAATTTTTACCCGTAATTATCGAGTTTTTCACTGACATTGGCCGCGCATCGGATGAAGTATTTAGACAACAATTGCCTAAATTAAAGGGAACGGTAGACAGTGATGTCCTAAAGTTTGACCCACAATGGGTTAATACTATGAAACAAATTGACAGTATATTCAAAGCTTAGTGTTTTTTTTTGTAATAATTTTATTTTTTTAGGGATCCAGGGTAATCATAATAATAATAATACTAGTAATTATATCTATTATATTGTACTACTTTAACACAACAACAAAAATAATTAATAATTTTATGATAATTTTTTTTCAATAATTAGTATAACAAAAATATTTTAAATTAATAAATATGTCAAAAATCAACGATACATTATAAGGATTTTATATATAATTTTAAAATTATAAACTTTTTTTTTTAGATAATTATTTTTATACATTACTTTAAAAAAAGGACCCAGGGTACTACTACTACTAATAATAATAATACTACTACTAGTAATTTTAGCTAATATACTGTACGTACTTTAACAATAACAACAACAAAAATCATCTAGTTAATTATTTTAATAAGATAGTTAATTTGTAGTTTTTTAAGTTGAATTTATAGTTAATTATTTGTTTTAATAAAATTTTGTTAAAAAAATACATTTATTTGTTTGTAATATTAACTAAATTAAGTTATTTTCGTTTAGTTTCTAAATTTTGTTTTTATAATTTGGGTTTATAATTATTGTAATTTTATTTATTATTAATTAAAAAAATAATAATAAACTATAAATTTTTAATTGATTGAATTTTTTTTTAATTTTGTTATAAAAATTACATGTACTTAATGTACAGTAATGTTAAAATGTTAAAAATTTTTTTTGTTGATGAAATGTAAAATAATAATAATAATATTAAAAAAAACAAATTCATTATAAATTGACGTAAACGTGATAATGATTTTTTTAAAGAAAAAAAACAATATATTATATACATTAAAATATTTTTCGTATTAAATAATTTATTATCTAATGTAATGTAATAGTAGTAGTAATAGTAATAATAATAATTGTAAATAATATAACAATATTTTTTTTCAACAACAAAATAAATACATTATAATTAAAGTCTAAATTATAACATAAATTATTTATGAAAAAAAAATTAAAATATTTAACTGAATTGCTGTCATATTTTTCTAATAATAATAAAAGTATGAAAAAAATGTTGAAAATATTTTTTTTTTAATTTTAAATACTAATATCAGATAATTATTGTTTAAAAATATTTAGTTTTTAATCCAATAGTTTTAATTTTACTATAAATTAATAAAATAAGTATAAATTAACATTATTATTAATTAATAATTATCTAGATAATTTTATTACAACAACTACTACTACTATTATAATTACAGCAAAAAAAATTATTATTTAATTAAAAAGTAAAATACATGCAAAAAAATTATTATTAAATTGACGTAAACTTGATAATGATTTTATAATATATTATATACATTAAGGTATTTATCGGATTATCTAAATGTATTGTAATGTTAATAATAATAATAATAATAATAATAATAATAATAATAATAATAATAATAATAATAATTAAAATGTTAAAAAATCTTAATGAAAAGTAAAATATAAAAAAAATTGACGTAAAATGTTATAATGATTTTACATATTTTTAAAAATATTAAATATCTTTACGTGTAATAATAATTATTACAGTATTATCTAATGTATTGTAATATTAATTATAATACTGTATATGACGACAATCTTTAATTGAAAATAAAAACAAATCAATTAATGTCTAAATTATAATATAAATTATTTCTATCAAAAAAATACCGATAATTATATGCAAATCATAATTTTTCTAAAAAAAAGTATATAAAGAGCTAAAAAAAATTTTAAAAATATATTTATACTGTAATATAACATAACTATTATATACTAAATAATACTGTATTAATAAATATTATTAATAATACTATAAGTTTTTATTTAAAAAAAATATAATAATTAATAGTTTAACTTGATCCATTTTTTTAAAACTATTATTGATCATCATTATGAAAAATCAACTAGCTAAATTAATGCTATTAGCATTTATTATGCAATTAACACTACTGACCACTACTATTAATGGTAATTATTATTATGATTATTAAATCAATAACTTAACTATTAATAAATCAATAATTTAACTATTAATAAATATAACATAACTATTAATAAATATAACTTAACTATTAATAAATATAACTTAACTATTAATAAATATAACTTAAATATTAATAAATATAATTTAACTATTAATAAATATAACTTAACTATTTATAAATCAATAACTTAACTATTAATATATTACACACACACACACAAACACACACACACACACACACACACACACACACACACACACACACACACACACACACACACACACACATTAAACTTATCATTAAATATTTTTTTTATACATACCTGTCCTCTATATATAGCCCATACAGATGTCGTCTCCTCCTATGATATCTATAAACTATTGTCGACTCATGGCTTTCAATCAATTGGCGACAAATTTAGGCCACAATTACAAGGTTTATCGGAAACGTTGAACAAGTTTTTCAATGAAGCGGCCACCGATCAGGCCGGGGACGTACCGTTTATGGTCGACCAGGATTTCGGTCAATTGGCTACCGATTTGGCCCGTGCTATGAACAGCTACGGCCAAACACTGATCAACAAACCGGTAGTCAAAAAAGTCAGTCAAGCGGCTACACTGTTGAATCAGTTGGCCATTGATATACATACGAAATTCGGACCGTTAGTCAAGGGCCAGACCCGACCCCGACAATCACTGTATAGTCAGACAATTAGTTCGGCACTGGTAGGCCTATCCGGTATGATTGGACCGATGCTAAATCCGGAGGATAGGGCTACAAAATTTTTACCCGTAATTGTCGACTTTTTCGGCCAAATTGGCCGCTCCGTTGATGATGTATTGAAAAAACAATTGCCTAATTTGAAGGCACCGGCAGTAGCCGATACGGTCAAACAGTTTGACCAGAAATGGGTGGATACTATGAAACAAATTGATGGTATATTTAAAAGTTAGTTTGTTTTTTAGGACAGTTGGTTAGTAACAGTAGTATAAAAATTGTATATTAATATATTTTGTAATCTAAATTTTTTTTTTTTAAAAAAATTACTTAAAGTGCATTATTATCTAAGCTATCTGTTTTTTTTTGTTGTTTATGAAAATTAAATAAAATTATATTTTTAATTTTGTTAATTATTTTTTCAAAAAAAATACTTATTTATTAATATTAATTAATTGTTTAAATAATAATAATAATTAATAATTATAATTTTGTTAATAATTTTTTAAAAATGCTTATTTATTAATATTAATCAATTGTTAGTAGTAGTAATAGTAGTATTTAGTTACCAAAAAAAATAAATAATGTATATTAGTATAAAAACTATATTTGTAATTTTAAAAAAGTTTATCTATTTGTTTTTTAATTGAAAATTATAATTTAATTTTAATTATTTGAAAAAAATAATACTTGTTTAATTGATATTAATTAATTTTCAAAAAATAATATTTGTTTTGAAATATAATATTTACAATAAATTTTTTTTTAATAATTAAAATAATTTATTTTTTTTGTTAATCTAATTGTATAGTAATAAATTTGATTTACATTTACAATCTTTTAGTATACAATATTTTTTTTTGATATTATAATTTTATTTAATTAAAAAAAATATATTCAAATAAAACATATATTAATAATTTTATATAACAATTATAAGTAAAATATAAATTATGAATTTTGCTAAATAAATATATAAATCATTTGATAATTAATTATTGAAAATATTTATTTTAAAATTTGAATTTGTTTTAAAAATAATGTATTCAAATAAACAATATTTCAGTCACTTATGATTTGTAAATATAAATTCAATGAATAATTTTGAAAAACATTTTTAAAAAATTAATTTAATAAATCACTGGATTTTTTTTATGTACAGACAATTGATGTGCTTTTAATGAGGATTTATATGAATAAATTTTGTCGCAATCATTGACATCGCATTTGTATTTGTTTGATATAATACCCGAAAATTGTACAATAAGTCGGTGTTGTTTCAAATATGAAAAACAAATGTTTTGCCGCAATCATTGTAATCACATTTGAATTCGGGTTCAATTGAATGATCTATGATTTATGTTGACGTAAACAATGATTTGTTGTAAATATTTTCAAACATTGGTTTACTGAACACTTGAATCGTTTTTCACTCAAATGTATTGATTTATGTTTATTTAACTGATTTTTTACAGCAAATGTTTTATCACAATAGTCGTGATTACATTTAAAATATTTTTGTTTTAAATGATAAACTAATTTATGTCTATTTAATGTTTGTTTTTGTCGAAATGTTTTCACGCAATCATTGATATCGCAAATAAATTTTCGATTAAAATGTTTGGCATTTCTATGACATCTTAATCCGACTCTACTAATGAAAGTTTGACAGTTTACTAATGATAAATTTATTAGATATAAGTTCAACAAAAATTTTAAGCAAATAAAATAAAAGAACAATTGAATCTATTTTTTATAATATTAATTATTAATCATTATTGCCAATTAAATATTATAATAAACTTATAAAATTAATATGTTTTAATATTAAAAATTACTATATATAGAAATATTTTATTTAACATAATTATAAAATGTTAGAATATAAGATTAATTATAATATTTGTGTATTAAAATTTAATAAATTCAAAGCACACACCAAACAAACAGTCAGTCAAATACCTGTTTTTAGGGAAATGGATATACCTTTTCATATAAATATATCAATAACTTAATCAATAATATTAATCCTTAAACCTGTTTAAAGCATTATGTTTAAATGTTTTAGTTTTGATCTAATATTTTAGATATAATTGTTTATAATTAAACATACATTATATTGAATTTAAATTAAAAAATTATGATTTAAATGTAAGTAAGTTTCGTAAATAGCTTTAAACTGACATTTAGGCCAAAAACACGTGAAACGCGTGTTGTTGTTATCAATACGTGTTTTTTACAGGAAATGTATACAATTTTTTATTAATCATTAAAATTGGTTACAATATTACAGTTACTATGTTTTTTGGTAAAATACTAATAATATTACTAATAATTTATATAATAAGTTATTTAAACAACATTGAAACTTATAATAAAAAAATTTAATGTTAATAATGATGTAATCTATATTATCTTTTCTTAGTATTTAATAAATTATTACTTAAAAAAATTATAATATTTATAAAATAAAATTAATCATAAAAATAAACATTATTAATGACACATATAATTGTAATTATAATAATTATTGTTTATTTATCATATTTTATTAGTATAGTTATATAGTTTGCAATAATAATGTATTTACTTTATGTTTTTTTTTATAAACAACAATATCGGGTAAAACATCCGGTAAAACAATTGACATAACTTTTATACAGCAATGAGACGGTTAACAGTAATTGTCGGGTCAGTCAGGTATAGGTATGAGTTCACGGATCAGCTCAACAAACAGTGCAATAGTATGTTATCAATGAATTAATAATTTTAGAAATAATTGTTTAATTTTTTATATATGTGTTTAAATAAGTCTTAATTAAGATCTAACTTAAATCTAACTTAATTAAGATAAAACTAATTTTAATATCATATAATAGGTATTAACTATATATGTAAAGTCAATTGATGTTTATTTAACATTGATTTATATATTAAAAAAAAAGTTTTGACACAATTATTTAAATTTGCTTTAAAAAATGTACAATATTTCGGTGTTGTTTTAAATGTGCGGAAATACTAAATGTTTTGCCACAATCTTTATAATCACATTTGAATTTTGGTTCAATTGAATGATCCAATGATTGGTGTCGACGTAAACAATGATTTGTTGTAAATGTTTTCAAACAATCCTTAACTAAACATTTGTATCGTTTTTCACTTATATGTAGTCTTTTATGGCAATTTAATTCATATTTTGTTGCAAATGTTTTATCGCAATAATCGACATTACATTTGAATGGTTTGCATTTTAGATGAACAATCATTTTATGCTTTTTCAATGATGATTTATGTGTAAACTTTTTGCCGCAATCAATGATATCACAAATATATCGTATATTTGAATGTTTAGCATATTTATGATGTTGTAAACCGATTTTACTTAAAAATGTTTTATTACAATTACTATAATTACAAATATATTTAATATTTAAATGATTAGTATTTTTATGCAATTGAAGACCATATTTACAAACAAAAGTTTGATTGCAATCATCATTAAAATCACATTTGAATTGCTTATAATCTAAATGTCTTAATTGATGTGTTTGTAAGTTATTATCATTAGTTGTTTTAAACCGACATTTAGGCCAAAAGCACTTGTATTGCATGTTATTGTTATTCACACGTGTCTTATTGTTGACAAAATTGATGTCACAATCGTTGATCATATAATCAGTAATTTTCAATGAATTACAATTCGCTGATAAATTCAATACATTTTCACATTTAATCGATTGATATATTTTACAAAATTTATCACTAATTTGTTGCAAACTATTTGCTAATGATTTCAATTGAATTAATTGATTTAAATTCATATTCAAATGTGCTGTTTGTTGAATGTCTTCAATAATTGATTAAAATGGCGATTACTTTCATATAACATAATGAGTTTTGTCTTTTATATGACTTATTCAAAGCACACACCAAACAAACAGTCAGTCAAATACCTGTTTAGGGAAATGGATATAACTTTTCATTTAAATATAACTTTAATTATTAATCCCTAAACCTGTTTATAGATACAGTATTTATATAAATTATTTATTATTACTTTATAATAGTACTTTTAATTTAAATTATTAATTATATTTCTTATTTAAATAATATTAGATTTAAATTTTAATTATTATTATTTTGAATAAAAACTATACATTCAATTATAACTATGAAATTAGTCAATATTAATTGTATATTTACTATACATTTAGTATAAATAATATAGATATTTATTTATATAGATAAGTATACCAAGACAACCTGGGTCAATGTTGTATCAAAACTTGTATAAATTATATACAGTATAATACTATAAACAGGTTTAAGGATTTATAATAAGTTATATTTATATGAAAATGTATATCCATTTCCCTAAACAGGTATTTGATTGACTGTTTGGTAAGTGATATGTTTAGTATCATATAAAAGACAAACACATTAAGTGTATGTGCGATGAGAGTTATCGCCATTTTTTCATCAAAATTATTGAAGTCATTCAAACAACACATTTTGAATATGAATTTAAATCAATTAATTCAATTGAAATCATTAGCAAATAGTTTGCAACAAATTCATAATAAATTGTGTGAAACATATGAATTGATTAATTGTGAAAATAAATTGAATTTATTAGATAATTGTAATTCATTGAAAATTACTGATTATATTATCAACGATTGTGACCACAATTATGACAACAACAACAACACACGTGTGGATAACAATAACATGCAATACAAGTGCTTTTGGCCTAAATGTCGGTTTAAAACAATAACTACTAATAAATTACAAAGACATCAATTAATTCATTCATATCATAAGCAATTCAAATGTGATTTTAATGATTGCAATCAAACATTTGTTAATCAAAATAGTCTTCAATCGCATAAAAATAGCAAACATTTAAATATTAAATATATTTGTAATTATACTAATTGTAATAAAACTTTCTCTAGTAGTACCGGATTAATTAATCATAAAAATGCCAAACATTTTAATAAACAATATGTTTGTAATATCAATGATTGCGGCAAAAAATATTATCGTAAATCATTTTTAAAGTTACATATAATGAATATTCATCTAAAGTGCAAACCATTTAAATGCAATGTCAGTTATTGTGATAAAACATTTGTAACAAAACGTCAAATAAATAGTCATAAAAAACTACATATTAGTGAAAAGCGATACAAATGTTTAGTTAAGGATTGTTTGAAAACGTTTGCAACAAATC